GGGGGGGGGCGGCGCGTTGCGCAGCTGAGCCGCTGCTAGAGCTGTTGTTAGGGGTGGCCCCACCACGCCACGCCACGCCATGCTGCGGTGCCGGGGTGGTTTTGCTACTTATGTCCTGCTCCGAAACTTTGTCTGTCTGCGGCAGATTACTGTGTGGCGCGGCGCGTGCAAGAACGGCCACACAACAACCCCTTGCGTCCGCCGCGCCGCGCCCCTCCCAGGACGTGGCGCCGAGGCCCTCCCTCCCTACCAGTCTCTCTCTCCCTCTCTAGCCCGCTCCTCTCCTTATCCCCGCGAGCAAACAATGACAGCATTTCCCAAATTGCATGTGTGATGACTATAAGGACACTAAGGGAGTGGGGCAGCGCGCCAGGGTTGTTAACGTTACTTTGAAAATGTATCGCGATACCGTTACCTCGTTACTCTACCCTAGGTAACGCGTTACGTTACTGGCAACGTCGTTAGTTTGTTACTCGATACATAAAATATTCTTTAAAAAATACTAAAAAGGAACCCGTTGTACACAAGTTCAGATTGAAAAACGAAGATAGGTCTAGATTTTTTTGTAAATTTAGACCCTGCCCTTACAGGTGCACATACTCTGCGTCGGCATTCTCGCGCCCCAAAACTGTAACCCTCCATTCTCCTCCCATCTCCATCCTGCCTGACCAGAACCTCACACAGAAAAAAAACCTTTGTAGTAGGGATCAGTTCTGTTTGGTAGGCGAAATTCGATTGCTGGAACCAAAAATCCGATACCCATAACCACGAGTTGGTTGTCACGACCGGACACTTGTACAAAGAGAAGGAAGCTGGAGTTTGTTCTTTTTTGTTGTTCTTTGTTCTGTACAAGTGTCCGTGACAATATTCCGTGACAACCAACTCCTGGTTCTTGGTATTGGATTCTCGATTCCAGCTAAGCCTACCAATTGATCCTCACAACAAAGGTTTTTTTTTTCGTGCACATATGAGCGAAGAGAAACCGACGGGTCAGTGGCCGCGGCCCTGGTCCCCTGCCACCTGGGAAATATCGATGCCTAAGAATTGCATCGCACCACACCTCCTAAAGTTATAAACTGATGACCCTGGTCGACCAATTACCTTTTCTGTTTATGCCAGTGGCTCTGGTGTGGTGAGTCGGTGGAGGCGCCTTCCGTAGGTTGGGTGTAGCACGAAAATCACGGTAGCGCACGTGGGTATCACACAAATTAACGGTAGCGCGCAGGATGGCTCGGCGGAGCGAAACGAAGGCGACGCACTGCTGTGACTGACTGACTCAAAATGTGACCGAAGGAAGCTGTCGTCTGCTGTTCTTGCCCTTACCCCCCTACCCTTCACCCCCGCTTACCCCGCCTCCAACACTCCCCAGGCAACACGCCGGTGGCGGCCAGGAGAGCAAAAGGACTGCTGACCTACAGCTGTCTCATATGTCTGGGCCGGAGGCTGGCGTTGATACGAAGCGGCCTCCTTGTCACCGTACCGCACCTCCTCGGCCAGCGGATCCGGTGCGGGAAGTCGGGAAGTCACAACATCCCCCTCCCCCCACTCTCCCCCAGTCCCGCGCCGCAGCCCAGCGGCCCTAAGCGCAGCGACCAGCTATGCTGAGAAGTACTAAAACCTGAGTCTCTCTCCCAACCAAAGAGCTCTTTGCTCCCAACTCCCTCCCGCGCCACAGAGGCCGTGACAGCCCGGCAGCCAGTGTGTGCACGGGAAAATTTTGCACGATTGCTGCAGAGCGCGCCAACTTTAAACTTCCTTCGCAGCATCAATGAATTAAGTGTACCCGTCAAATATATCCCATGTAACGAGTAAAATGTCGGCGTTACGTCTCATTACTGACTAAGGTAGCGATAACGCGTTACCGTCACTTTGTTACTGCGTTACTGTAACTTTAACAACCTTGCCGCGTGCCGCGTGGGGCGGGGCGAGGAGGGAGGGGCTTCGCGAAGCAGATGCAGGTCCTCGTCACTCTGACAGATAGACGCGCCTCCGACACCTCCGCGACGAAGGAATAACATTGGCTAGGGCAGCCAGGGTGACGATCCCGTTGGGCCCGTGTTTTTGCCGCTTCCTCGACAGTGTCGGGTCCCGGATCCGGACGCCTGATCCGTGTAACAGAGAGCTGCCCACCACGGGGGCGGGCCGAGCAACTGCCGGGGCGGGCTGTCTGCGCAGATCTCCGACAAAGACGACTTAGGGCCGACTGTCTCCTCCTAAGTGCCGCACTTTCCGATGCAAATCCGCCTAGACGTATAAAGGGGGGAGCGTGGGAGAGGCGCGGGCGATCACAAGCTCGTGGGTGACGCGACACCTGTCCGCGCGCACGGGCCCTGGCTGAGGGGGAGGGTGAGCCCCGCCCCCGCGTCTCCCGCGGCACGCGGCCCCCGCAACAACACCCTCCCCGTCGACTCACCGGACGAGTTGACCGACTTGAGCATGGCGGCGGCGGCGGCGGCGGCTCCTCGTCCTCTGGACGGACTTGGCCTACATCGACAACACAGTGACCCCAAGGACCTGTGTCGAGGAGCTCGAACGCCGGAGGTCGCGCCGGGCAGAGTGCCGCAGTGCCGCCAACCACGCTGCCATGGCGACCGCCGGACTGTTCCATGGCAAAGCTCGGCGCGCCGCGCTCCCAGGTTAGGGATTGTCCACAGAGTGCGTCCGTTTTGCTCAGATCCACTCGAAATTACGGAAGCTCGACGCCTGCGAGACTCGGGGTAGGCCACCCCGCTGTACAGGCATGCACTGCGCGCAAGATGTTGCCTACCTATCAGGCGCTATGAGAGCTCGCATCGGCAGCTGTGCTTCTCCCCCCTGATTGCTTTGGCAATCCAGGAGCTGTCACTAAAATCATAGCGCTATTATGAATACAATTGAAATCACTCCACACTTCACCCATCTTTACCCGTCTTTATCTTATCTACCTTCACACCTCAATAAGCAAATGCTGAAAGGCCTCCGAGCGACAGCATACCTCCCTATGTAATATACTTCGGCGTCAATAAATTCGTTTAAAAACTGAACTGAAGGTTGAACTTGGCAATGTCGTAACCGGCAAATGACAGATGTGCATTACATAATTCAGGAACAGACTTCTGTTGTGGTTGTGACCACAATTGCCATAGCGAACACGGCTCATAACGTGAACCGACCCAATAGACCAGCTCTCGTCGGCCTCCTGCGCGGGCCTCTGCCCCTGCTTCCCCCACGGGTCTCGGACTCATCATGACGTGTCATTACAGCGCTTTTTGGGATGGGTCGCGAGACGTCTGACCAGGAGAGGCGCGGCGGGGAGAGGCGCCAGACCAATACAGTAATAACGACGCCCACTCTCCCCTCCTCCTCCTCGTCCTGGTCGGGATGGCCACGGGCCCGCGGCACCGCATAGCGCCGCGTACGTCGTACACCAGGGACCCCGCGCAGCGCCATCCCGAGCTCTGATCGCCCGGGCCAGTTCGACGCAGCGCCGCCGCCAGTGCGTGAGGTCCATCGTAGGCACGGTCGTGATGGGGGCGGGGGCGGTTCCGGACGAGGTGGTGCCGCAGAACACGAGCCGTGTCGTCCAGTAGCGCGCGCGAGCCCGCCGCCAGACGTGACAGTGAGAGTGAGAGAGACCGGCAGAGCGTGCGTGAGTGCGAGAGAGGAGGATGGGCGCCCGCCGCTTTATCGCCCAAGCCCCTCCACATGGCGCGGCGCAGCCAGACTTTACTGCGGAATTCCTAAGTGTCGTGAGTGAGACGGAATTTTAAATCAGCCCTCGCCTCCGCCCCGCGCGTGTGCCCCCCCCCCTCCCCTCATCCCCTCTCAACCAGCCCTCACGACCGCACCGCCTCTGTTGGGTCCTCCCCCCCCGCCCTCCTGCAGCCTGCAGGTGCTCGACGCTCCCACGAGAGGAAGCGCCAACACAACTTGAGCACCGCGGTGGTGCCTCGCCGCCGCCCCGGGGGCCGCGCCCTCGGCCGCGCCCTGGCCTGGTCCGGCTGCTGGCAGCGCGGCGCGCACCACGACTCGAGATGGCGGAGACTGCCAAGGTATTGGGATCGGCTTGGCCGAGGCTTGGCCTTTCCGGGACGGAACAGCTGGCCTGGCACGCTGCTGCTGCTGCTTTATCCACCCGCGTTCATTTGCATGTTTAGCATCTCTTTTCTCCGTCGGGGCGTTATTCGTTTTGCGACGACTCGGTGCGGGAAAAGCGAGTCGGGAGACGAGATCCGTCCGGGTCCCACCCCGCCCCGCCCCGCCCCAGCGCTATCGCGCCCTGAGATGCAGCGCGACGTACATTCCTCTTGGATCCCCCGCCCCGCCCGCCCCGCCGCGCCCGCTCGCTCGCTCGCGCTCACTCATCTGCCTGGACGATCTTGTGGGCTTGTGGGCCCTCTGAGCCGCGCAGTCTGGCTGACGCGACGAGAAATATTAAGAAATGCCTTCCTCTGCGCGTCTCGCTGTTGCCTCTCCCCGCTCTGCCGCCCCCACTCGTAGCAGAATTATTACATCTCGCGCCTTTTTGCCTTTTCCTTTCCAAGCGGTGCCTACTGCTGCTGGCGGCGCTGGGGGCGTGCGCGCCGGCCCTGGCTGAGCCCAAGGTGGGCGGGTCGGCCTTCAACTCCACCGGAACGGTCCCGGCCCCGGCGTCCCCGCAGCGGAACAGATCCATCTGCCCCGACATGGACATTCGGAACAGGCCGAGCCAGCTGAGAGTAAGCGTGGATTGAGCGAAATCTGCTCCGAAATCGTGACAATGGTGAGAAAGAAGCGACCGCTTTTAGCACGATTGTCTGTGCCGCAGAGGCTGGAGGGCTGCGTCGTCGTCGAGGGCAATTTGAGCATGGTGCTCATGGACAACATGCAACCCGCCGACTTCGCTCCCTACTCCTTCCCGGACCTGCGCGAGGTGACGGGCTACGTCCTCTTCTTCAAAGTGAGCGGACTGCAGTCGCTCGGCCAGCTGTTTCCCAACCTGACACTGATCCGCGGCACTCAGCTCGTCGTCAACCAGTACTCGCTGGTGGCCTTTCAGATGCCCGACCTCGTGGAGGTGCGTAGTGGTGCTCAGGCACCAGAACTGCATCACGTCTGCATTATATGTCCAATCTAAATTGCAGCCATGATGCAGTTTTCCTGGATTTGCTACCTGGGGTGGGGTGGGGTCGCAGTGTCATCCTTCGCCCGCACCCCCTGACGCACCCCCCTTGTTCATGTTGCAGCTTGGTCTGTCCTCTCTGGAGCTGGTGCAGCGCGGCGCGGTGCGCATCGACGGCAACCCCTTGCTCTGCTACGCCGACACGCTGGACTGGGACGTGATCGCGCCGGGCGGCGGCGGCGAGCACTACGTGTACAACAACAGGCCGCCCTCGGAGTGCCAGCCGGCGTGCAAGTGCCCGTCGGGCCGGTGCTGGGGCTACACGAGCTGCCGGCACCCGCGCAAGGGCACGCCCAGGACGCCCTCGGGCGCCGAATGCAACAAGAACTGCGCCATCGGCTGCAACGGCACCTCCGCCCACGACTGCATCGCCTGCGCCGGGCCCCAGGAGGGCAGCGAGTGCGTCGAGCGCTGCAGTCCCGGCAAGTGAGTGCGGCGGGAGTCTTGGGCCTGGTCACAGTCACGTCACTCGAGTACTAAGCGAGACTAAACGCGTCCCTCTCACTATCAGGCTCGTGTTCCAGCGGCGGCGATGCGTGCCGGTGGACTGGTGCGAGGAGCACCACTCGGGCGGGGCGGACGGGATCGAGCACCAAGGTGAGTGCGTGATGGAGTGCCCCGAAGGCACAATCATCGAGGTCCGGGAGGAGAAGAGCAAGAGCAAGAAGAAGCTCAAGGAGGCGGCCGACAAGGAAGACAAGGAGAAGGGAAAGAAGAAGAAGTTCTGCAAACCTTGCGTGTGAGTAGTAGCAATCGTTGACTGAAGCCCTACTACGCCTTTTTGCAAATTTGAGATCAAAACTTCGGGTCTCGTGTCCTCCAGGGGACCCTGCCGCACCGAATGCCCGGGCGCGGCCATCCGCACACCACGTGACGCACTCCAGCTGCTCAAGGGATGCACCGTGATCAACGGCACGCTCGAGATCGAGATACCTCACGGCGGCGAGGAGGTGGAGAAGGCCCTGGAGCCCGCACTCGGCAACATCCAGGTCATCACTGGCTCCCTCGTTGTGAGCAGGTGGGCAGCTGCTTTCTTATTCTTATCGTCCGTCGCGTTCTCGCCGGGATAGGCTGTGCATCTCACCTGCAGGCCTGGTGCCTGTGGCCAGTGACAGCAACCCTGACTACAACCATTAGCTGCAACTGCCCTGCAGGTCGCGGCCGCTATCTTCGCTCCGGTTCCTGCGGTCGCTGCGCGAGGTGCGGGGCTTGGACCGGAACAAGAAGCTGGCCGTCTTCATCAACGACAACGACAATCTGCAGTCCCTGTTCGATTGGGACGAGAACAGCCGGTCCAAGACGCTCACCCTCGCCCCGCACGCCCAGATCACCTTCTACTACAACCCCCGCCTCTGCCCGCAGGAGGTGAGCGTGGCGCTGGTGATGAGGGCTATTTACACCTATCGGTTTGAATTACCACGACCTTTCCCCCGTGTCGCGGAGGACGCTCCAGATCAAGAAGTTCGAGAAGGTGACCAACCTGACGAAGGGGCAGATGCTCAACAACTTCAACGGCTTCAACAACCCGTGTGGCGCGTGGAACTTGTCAGCCTCCGTGTCGGTGCTGGGGCCGGAGTCAGCGGTGCTCACGTGGCGGACCTGGGTACCCGCCAAGGAAGTACTCGCCTACGCCGTGTACGTGACGAAGGCCGTGCGCAAGAACGTGACTGAGTACGCGGGCTCCATATTCTGCAGGTACCAGCCGAGCGACGGTGACCTCGACGACGGCAGCGTCTTTGGGTGGATGGTGGTCGACGTTCGCTTCGGACAAGGTCAGTTGCTTTCCCCTGCCTCTGGCAGCGGCAGTGAACCCAGCCATTTCTGAGGTTCCTATTCGTACGCCCCCCATAGACGACACCGAGGTGAGCACGCTGGTGCCCAGGCTGCAGCCCGCCACGATGTACGCCTACTACATCAAGACGTACACGACCCGGGCCAACGTCAACTCTCCCATCAGGTACTTCCAAACGCCGCCAGACCGGCCTTCGCCGCCCAGTGCGGTGCGCGCCGTGGCCGTGCGGCCGTCCGCGGGCAGCCTGCTGGTGGCGTGGAGCCCACCCCCGCGCACCAACGGCGTGCTCAGTCACTACATCATCACGGGCGAGCTGAGAGACGACGACGACCAGCGCCAACTCGGCGACCGGGACTTCTGCGAGCACCCCGCCACCCCGCCGTACTCTGGTACGTGCATCTGCAGGGGACAGGACAGCTGCGGAGTGTGACGGCGACCTCCTATTCCTCCTTTGCCGCAGAGGCCCTGGCCGCGGAGGACGCGCAACGCTGGGCGAAGGGCGATGAAAGTTCTGCTCCAACTGTGGGCACCTCGTCGGGCTGCTGCTGCTCCGGTTGCTGCCGCATCCCCCTGAACGAGGAGCAGTGCGAGCGCTTGCTGAGAGGCTCCCAAGACGTGTTGGACGCGTGTGGAAACCGCGTCCAGTCTCTAGACCGCTGTACCCACGTCCTCTACAACGTGGTGTCCGACAACATGAACCAGGCAGCGTCATCCTTTGTAAGTTGTAACGTCGTCGAACTCATCTCATTTCCCTTATGTTAGTTCTAGTATAAATACAAATCCGGGAGCATCTCTCTGTATTCTAGTTCCCCAGGGCCAACCAGTTCCCCGGCTCCAGCGGGGGCCAGGGCCGGATCGACCTCAACCTCTCCGAGGAGTGGGACAAGGACTGGAGGAAGCGGCGCTTCGTACGCATCGAGAGCGCCAGCGCGACCAGCAGCCTGGTGGAGACGCTCGTGCCCTTCGGCCTGTACTCTATCTCCGTGCACGCGTGCGGCAAAAGCGGCCCGGGCTTTAGCGATCCGAAGGGGGCCCCGCTCTCCGCGTCCTGCAGCGCGGCCTCGATGACGACGGCCAGGTCACTGCATGCCGAGGGCGTGGACCTCGTGTCGTCAGCCAACGCCACCCTGCAAGGCGACAAGCTGCTCGTGTCCTGGGCCGAGCCGCAGCGCCCCAACGGCATGCTGGTCTCATACCACGTGCGCTATCGGGACCGGCACAAGTTCGAGGGGGGCGAGCAGGTAAGTGCGCATGCGATTTCTTTCGTTCCTCCTCGAAGTTCTCGAAGTCTGGTAGAGTAATATCGTTTCCATGCGCGCCGCAGTGTGTGACCCGGCAGAGCCACCGGCAGCACGGAGGCCGGGTCCCGATCCCGCTACGGTCCAGCGTCACCCTGGACGAGCAGAGTGCCGCGGTGGAGGAGCGATACGTGGTCGAGTTGCGGGCCGTCTCTTTGGCGGGTCCAGGTCGCTGGGTCGGCGTAGAGGTCTACGCCACCAAGAGGGTTCCAGCCGCCACAGCAGACAGCGGTGAGGGGCACGACGCCACCGCCAGTCCCAGGTCGACGGCGAAGACTGTGGTGGCGGTGCTGTTGCTCCTCCTCGGGCTGCTAGCCGTGGCGCTCTTTTATCTCCGACGGCGCGCGGCACGGGACAGCCTAGGTGACGAGTCGGACCTCGGTCAACGTCGGCTTGTGAGCTCGGACCTCACCGAATGCTGGGATCTCCCGGACCTCACTGACGAGCCTGACCACTGGCCCCCAAATGTGCACTTTGATCCGGACGCGAACCGTGTAAGCTTCGAGCCGCTGCCGACGGCAAACTTGCAAGTCATGCAGAACCTGCAATCGTCGGCCGGGAGCAGGGCCTGGCTGCGGTGGCCCAGCGAGGAGGATGTTGATGACAACGTCGAGAGTACGCTGCCCTCGGCGCCCCCGCTACAACAGCTGCAGCATCACACACGGTGGCACCCGACCAATCCGTTCCACCCCAACCACAGTGGTTTCCACACGGATGATATCTCCAACTCGTCTCCTGAAGCTGTACAATACAGTAACAGTAAAACAAACCCCTTCACCAGCAGTGACGAGGGAATGCCCACTGTGCCTCTGCAAGAGGACCCGAAAATGAGTCCGACATTTGATCTTCTCTGGGAAAACAAAGGGGAGATATCTTGCAACGTTGACCCACTTTTAAACAAAACATACACTCAAGAATATGTAAAAAATAGTAGAAAGAATGAAGAAATGTTACGTGATATCACACCTTCTTTAATGCTGAATAGAAAAAATGTACCTGGGGACTATGAGGACTGGGAAGAAATAAAAGTGAAAAGTCCAGTAAATGAAGATATGCACAAATCACCATCTACGGATTCATTTACTTCAGTAAATTTGAGTGAATCTGAACTATTAAAACAAGATTTAAGTAATCTGCGGAGATGTGATTCTAGGGAGGGACTGGATTGAAATGAAGAAACCTTTCATGTTACATTTTGACTTAACAGTTATTAGCAATGTTTTTATTGCAATAACAAATGGAAATCAGTTATGAAAATAACTAGAAACTATAATATATGAATTGACAAAACCTAAAGAGAGTGGAACACTTTCACATATGTATCGACTTACATCACAAGAACAAGCCATCAACAAAAAAAATTTGGTTGATAAATTTGTAAGGTAGAGTGACAAAAATGCGTAACTGTCTCACAAAAGAAAATACAAAGAATGGAGAAAAAACAATCTGATTGAAAAAGAGTTGATTTGAAACCAGTGTATTCTTTCCAAATAATATACCCTTGTTCCTTTCCCTGTCACGCCTTGCTTAAAAGTGTTTCCCAGTCGGGGGTGACAACAACCCGTGCCCTAACCTGCCCTAAATTTATCATCTTCCCAGTCTTTTCATAATCATCCAGATTGATGGAAATCAAATCCTGAAAGAGAAATATCCTGGTTTTAGAACAGAAGGTCGGTTTATGTGAATACTGTATGGGGAACCACAAACCTGTTTAAAACCGACTTGAGTTCCCATTGTTATAGGCATTGAAACTGAGCCCAATTTTAAATGAGCTCGACCAGATCTCATTATTTGAATTTTTCCAATACAGCCCTCAGGGATTGTTGATAATGTACACTGGAAAAATATGAGGGAAAGTGAAAATGTCAAAGAGTAAAAACATTGAAATAATTCTTGTAGTACGTACCTGAGGAGTTTGACTAGCACCCACAGCTGCGCCAGCTGCAGATGTACCATTAACATTTTTAGCTCCATCAGGCTCTACTGATGGTCTTAAACCTGGTAGACAATCTGGTAACTGTTGACAGAAAAATAAACAACCCATATTATTTTTTAACCTAAACAGATGAAATAGGTTTTATTTTTAAAAACAGGAATGTTTTGTCCCAATTCAAATTTGTTTACCTGAACTAGAATGTACTCCGGCTTTTTACTGCCTAGCAAATCTCCAACCCGACGTTCAAATACTATATGACCCTCATCCTCTGACAAAGGCTTAAAATCAGATTCCTCCTCTTCTCCAGGCTCCTTTTTTACTGAAATATGAAACCTTCATAAAACGCTTGTGAAAAGTGTTTTTACATCAGATATAAAAATAACAATGGTACAGTAAAACTATTTAAAACTAGTAAAAAAGCCATGCAACTGAGCATTACCACTAAGGGAGAAACAATGTTGCTTAGATTAAAGAGTGGGGACAAGGGGTTGCAATCTTACCACCAAGAATGTCTCAGAAACAGTGGATGAGAGAGAGGGACTCTGAACCCAATCCTACAGCACCACTTCCTGATTTTCTCAATTCAAACATAATTAAGAGTAAATAGTATGAGGTGGAATTTAACTGTAAAATATATGTGAGATAAATGTTTTCACACCACGCGCACTAATTACAAGATTAGCTTGGTGATGTTATGATAGATGTAAAAGTAATGACAAGCAGAAAACTCACTCTTCACATCAGAGACAATCTCGGAATGTTCAGTATTCAAACCAGGGTCATTCTTCTCTTTCTTAACTAGTGCTCCTCCTGAAACTGGTGGTATGATTAGTACCTCTGGTGCAAAGGAATGGGTGAGAGAAGAGAAACAAGAGAAGACTGTAAAAACATTTCTTCACTTGAGTGATAGAAAGATTGAGAAAGTGTGTGAAGAGCTACATAGGACTAGAAGGGGTTGCTCTACTAGTTCCAAGAAAAGAGGAGAAGGTAAAAAGTTGAAAACTACAATTTAGATAAGAATTACTACTAAAGCAGGTATTAAAATAATAAAGGATCCTCTTACTACTTTTTTGTGTTCCTTTCTTTTTCATAGGAATCATAGGAAGTTGCAAAGGTTTTATTCCATCAGTCACTGCATCAGGATCATCAACAAAATCATCTTGAAGGAGTTGCCTCAGTCTTTCATTTTCTTCCTTGCTATCAGTGGAATAGTTTTGCTAAAAGTAGAAATAATATAAAAACCACTTGCTTCTTGCAAGTTAAAGATTAAAAAAAAATGAGATAACCAACCTTCAAATCTAACTTTGGTTTAGGAACATAACTGGAATTGCTGTCTTCCTGTCTGCCTCTGGTAGCTCGACGTCCAGCAGCAATACCCTCTGAGAAGACTCCACTAGAAAGCTATAAGAATGATATGGATTGAAAGTGAAGTAGAAAAGACAACAAACTCTTCCGTGAAGTTTTTCTTGACATTTTACCTGAATCACATTTGCAGCCCCTCGACCGCGTCCTCTTTCGCCTTTACCACGCTCACCTCTTCCTCTTCCCCGTTCTCCTCGAGATTTAGATGGCTCTTCTTTAACTTTAACTTCCCTGAAATATAGATGGCAAACTTAAGTGTGTGCACAAACATTTCACCTAGAAATAACAATCTATTCTATCCTTACTCTTTTGATTTGTTACGCTGAACATTGAGATTTGGGGCATAGTTTTTGCGAGCTTTATTGACTCCAAGGCCAAGAGCTCCACCTCGACCAACACTCCCAGAGCCAAGTGTCAAGTCACGAGGCTGTCTGAAAGATGGCAATCTAACTATTGAGTTGGAAGATCTTGAAGATCCTTCAATTTTAATTGTGGTTGCAGTTGGTTTAGCGGGTTTCTGTTCTTTCTCATCTGACATGGTGAGCTGTCAGAACAAAAACGGAGAAAAGCTATGTATATTTAATTTCAATAAAAAAAAATAGACTGAAAGGTTTCACTCATTAGAAAAGGCTTGTAAATTTAAAATCTAACATAAGTCTGTGACTTGATAACCTCACCACAAGAGTGGAGACATACAGGTTTTTAGACATATAACCGTCAAACAAAATGTTGACATCAGTTAAACAACTGAAAATTGGAATTGGAAATTTCACAGAGATAACTAAATGCATACAGAACACTTACACACTATATTGTTAAATAACAGATATCAAAACTCATGTGTATGGAAAGTAAAAGTAAACATTCATCGGGTCATCCATTCAGCGTCGTCGGTCGTCGGTTCATCCGGCAGAATCAAGCAGACAGTGGGCCCGGATAAGCGAAACGAAAGGGATTTCACAGTTGTAAGTCTGTGTGGATAAAATTTGGGATCCAGAAGAAATGTAATTCATTCCCCATCAATGACACGACAGTTTTCAAATGTTAACTACCTTTTACCAGGTGTTGTTGTCTGTGAGCTTAAAAGTACGCGCGTCAGCAGTTGAGTTATCCTTGTCCGGTCACAATCTCTGCTCTCAACAGGATTCGTGTCCAGATATCATCTAGCTGTATTTTTGGAAAGTGCCCAAATTAACAATGTCTGCTCTCAGCCAAGTGTCGAGTGACTGAGTTGTGACCTGGAATTTGATTGTTGACTGTGAGTCAGCTTTCACTATCAAGTGAAAGACTGAAAAAGTGAGTTCTAACGCACCACCCCATAAGAAAGTGACGCGGAATGCAGGAGAGTTGATAAACTCGGGGAAGAGTGAAGGCACGTCCCTCCTTAGCCTAGCCCACCTTACATGACAACATTTTAATGTCATTCATGTTTTGTAACCTTTCTTTGTTATTCTTGGCTGCCGTTCTATTGCACCAGCAGGGAAAAAGTTATTTCTCTTCGATCTCTATTTTCTTATTTTCCTGTTGTTGAGGTTGTGTGGTCGTTCATTTGGCAAAACAACTGGTATAGTTACCTCAATGTCAGATAAGCAGCATGATTAGGCAGTCTCATGTTTACCCAATATTTCTAATGTTTCTTATGAGGCACTCAATTTAATTAACTCCTACATCAGTGATCTTCTATTATCAAATTACTTTTGACATGTTATCTATTGGTTAGCATGTTCCCCAGTCTAACCAATCTTGGTTCAGAATCCAAGTGGTTACGGTAAATTTATGCCCAGAATTTCATGTTTTGTTATATTTGTTTTTGTCTTCTTACCTTTTAAATATTTTGGTATTGTTTCATTCATTGTGTAATGTTCTTGATTTAGTTATTAGAAGGGCCTGACCTAAGTTGATACTAAACATTACCAATGAACATAGTTGTACAATGGTTAATTTGTTTGTTTCTATTGCACTGCTAAAATAATCATTTCAAGCCTTTTGAAATTTCAGTGCTTTTTAGTTATCATGGTCAATGATTTTATTTGTTTTTGACAGTTATTGGTGGCTGAGGATATATACACAAAAATGTTATCTTATTTTTATTGTAGTACCTTATTTGTATCAAAGTGGATCAAACAATAAATTTAACAGTTGTCTTTCCATACACTAGGATTTCACGTTTGATTTCCTCATTTTCATTTTAAAAAAAATCAATTTTTAGTGAAGTACTGTACTGTTTGCATTTTTGGGGTCAAAGGTCATTTTGAGCATTTGTTTTTACTTTTTGTTGAAACTGGTTTTAGAATCATTGAAAAGTGTACCAATGGATTGATGGTTAAATGTCTGTCCTATGAGTTAATTTTGATTCCTTTCAATTACAGGTCTTTTCAGGTGTTTTGTTTTTTGCAAAACTCATTGCAGCTATGGCCCTGCGGGACTTGGTGGAAGCTGAGTGCGGAGGCTCTAACTCCCTGGTTAGACTTACTTCACACTTCACCACTGATCATGCTCTGAAAGATGAAGGGCTTCGAAGAGCATTTCCTCATCATGGAGAGCCATTTAGTGACTCTGACCAGGTAGTGTACAAATCTTATCTTTTCAATTCTTCTTGCTCTGAAGACTAGGTATTTCTGTGGTAAATTTTAAAGGAAATATAGCGAAAACTATCAAGATTTTCCTCTTTTTCCCTCGTATTTTAGCTTGTACAGCAGTTTCTGGAGGAAACCCTGGGAGCCTCTCCACAGACCTTTCGCATGGATTCACTTCTCCAAGAAATGCGGGAAATGGAGCAAAGTGGTCTTGCTCCCCGTCCCTCACCAGGGGTGGCTCAACTTGCTGCCGATCCAAGCTGCAACCCACAAGAGTGGGCTCAGCAATTTCTTGAAGCAGGAAAACATTTTGAAGTATGTTTGATTTCACAATAATAATTTCTCATTACTCCACTGTGCCCCAATATTCAGTTTAATGTGTTGAGTCTTGTCTCTTTAGGATGCTCCTGGCCATGGTGGAAATATATGGGCTGTTGATGGAAGTTCAAGTCTCCCCCCTATTGGAGCAGAGCGGGATGGTGGATCCAATGGACTCTCTGAGCTTGGCTTTGGACCTAAATGGGCGCAAGATTACTTGGAGTCTAGTGATTTGTAAGTTAAAATTCATGAAGTGATGCTATTTAATCGCTATTGCATCAAAAGATTATATGATAATAGTCCTATTTTTTTCACTAATTTGAAAATTGACATCATTCTTAAAACCAGGAAAGAAGCTGCAACTGGCAATGAACTATCTCTGGTTGATGCAGAAAATTGGATTGCAGAACTTACCCAAAATGATGCAGCAATAAGGCAAAAAGCTACGGAACTTGTCAATTCTGTTGATGATCCAAAGTTTGTCAACTCCAAGGTAAGTATCACAAGCTGTATGACATAAGTGTCTAAAGTGTTCCTTGTCGCTTTTAGAAGCAAATTAGGGTTATGTATGTTCCTCTCTTAATTGCTTTCTTTCAGTTGTCTGCACCATTCAATCAAGCACCCCTCTGTGATGAAGCCGAAGGCAGATTCAAAGTGAGCAATGACTTAGAAAGGATTGCTCCTTGTTGCCCCCTAGATACTTGTAATGTAGTGCATAATGTTTAGACATGTCACATAGATGAAGTACCGGATGCAATACCTTCCCTTCATCTTTTGCCATACAAACTTGTATAGTGTACCAGAAAATGTCAGCAAATGCTAGCAATTGATATTCAAGTCATGTAATTTGTAGATGGAATTGTTTTTATCACAAATCTTCACCAGAGTGCTGCTAATGTGGTGGATTCCTGACTGCGCTGTAGAGTTTCTGATCATTGTGCAATGCATTTTTCCTAAATAGTCTACATTGATGTCTTTAAAAAATTATTTTCAGTTCATGAAGTTCATGCGCCAAGTTGGAGATGGTGAAATTTCTTTGGATTCCAAAAGAGATGGAACTGATTTGAAGGAATCAGCTGCAGGTTCTGTAGCAAGCTCTTGGGCTCGTGAATTTGCTAACACATGGGGTGAAGAATTGGCTTCTGGCTCAACAAAATCCTCCTCCTGGGGGGAGGAATTTGGGAAAACATTTGGTGGTAAGCCTAAATCTGTCCTTGTAAGAGAGCAATTTAATCTGGGCTATAAATCAGATCTATTGTGACCATTGTCTCTGAATTTGACAGCTGTTGGTGATGATAATGTTGCGAAACCTGATCTTGCTGATGGTCCTGAGGCTGCTGGTTTGGATGATATCACAAACCAATTTTGGGACAAACTTCAGGAGCAATGGAGCAAACTGGAAGAACATAAATGGTTGAGTGATTTCAGTGATTTCTCGGACCCTTTCAAGGTTAGTTTGTAAAAATCTTCTTTGTGCTTTTTAAAGGATTAGCCAATAAGCTGTACAGGGTTTCTTTCCCCCTCTTTTGCTTATATCCTTTTCATATAAACTTCTGGTTGTGGCTGTACCCATTTCCAGTTCATGTATCTAAGTTTCAGTCACTTTGAAATGTTGTACAAATTTTTTTAAAATCAATTCTCTGAATCCTAAATCCGATTGATGCCACACATTTCCTATTTCTATTCGTAACACACAATATTAAATTGATCTCCAATTACTATGTGGTGTATGTATAGTTATATGCAGTAATTCTGACTTTTAACATTCCTCCCTTCTCCTTCTCTGTTTCCCTTGGCATTCTATGGGGCTTCTTTTTTTAACTTTTGCTTACTTTCTTTTATTTTTCTTGTCCAATCGTTTTCATTTCCATGATACATTTTCAAACATGGTCTTCCTCTTTGCTTCATGTTTTGTCCCTGTTTTTCTATCTATCTCTCTCTCTCCCTCTCTCTTCTCAATTGGATTTTGAACTCTTCTATCTTTTGATGTTTCTACTACTGTTGTTGTTACTTTTGCCTTTATCTATTTTTGAGTAGGCCTTCAATAAGGTAATAGTATGTCTTATTCTATCTGTGGTATAGTCTATTCCAAACTGGTTTAGAACCTTCCCTCTCCAAAATACAATGAATAAATTGATAGTGCCTTATTTGGGGTTGAGGAACAAAGTGCTTCATGCAATTAAACTGGAAAACGCTTTTTCTCTTGGCTTGCTAAAATGCCTGCTGGGCCTGCAAATGTCATTCATTAGCCCCCTTTCTTTGCGTTATTTGAAAGTTTCACTTTCAGACCAGAGCCTGTAAGCTATACACCAGTTTAGTATAGACTATTGTGTTAGTTGAGAGCAAAGACTGATAATATGTAGACCAAGTTAATGTAATGTGTCATTGTTGTGAGGATGACATGATGACACGGGTTGAAATAGAGTCTAACCGGAGACTTTGTGCAGAAGTGTTTGTCGTCTGTTAAATTGGTCTATTTCACGTGTTGAGGAGCTCTCTCTTGAGGAAGGTGAGACATTCCAATCTCATTTTCAACCGTGAATACAATAGATGAGTCAGTATAGCTATATTTCAATGGTAACTGCTGCATCTACCAACATTTGTCTTTGCCTTCAACTTTATGAATGAGACTGCTATTTATGTACTACTGTTTGCGTTTGTTTCCTTCATTTTGTATTTCATTTTTATTTTTGCAAACCTCTATCTCTTAATCAATTAAATCAGTGTAGAAATCTGAATAGAAGGTATACATGTACCTTTACCTAATTTCTTTTTCCTTCTCTTTTTCTTATGAAGCAGTCTAGCCTTTTGTAGACGTTTTCTCTGTGAAAGGCATGTCTGGTCTGGTTTTGTGTTGGCATTGTTGAACTTGGATTTTGACTAACTTGTATTGTTTTTGATTTTGAGTTTTACATCTGCATGCCATTTTCTTTATTTGAATGTGCAGGGTACAAGTTTTTCATCACTTCACACTAAGCTCATTTTGTCACATCCTTCCCCATACTTCCTACTCCTTTCCTGTTCATCCTTTCCTTGGAACCCCCATTTCGATTACAAATTTGCAGGAGTATCAATTCGAAAGTGAGAACCCCATGCGAGATACGGAAGACCCATTTGAAGAAGGCAAACGACGTCTGGAACAACATGATATACCTTCAGCCGTGTTATGTTTCGAGGCAGCGTGTCAAGCCAATCCAGAAAATGCTCTTGCCTGGCAGTATTTAGGTACTACTCAAGCTGAAAATGAACAGGTCAGAGAACCATACTAAAGACATCAATTTATTTTTCATCTTATTTTTCAAGTAGTTGTTCACACTCTATTTTATTATTGTGTTTTGTAATTTCTAGGATCCTCATGCGATTGCTGCTCTAAAGAAATGCCTTTCTCTTGATCCCAAAAATTTGACTGCTCTTATGGGTCTTGCTGTGAGCTTTACAAATGAAAACTTCCAGAACCAGGCTTGCCATGCTCTTAAGGTAAAGTGTGTCAAGTTTTTATTTTTATGTTATAAAGTACAATGAAAAGAAACAATTAAATCAAATATTTTTCAGGAATGGTTGAAAATGAATACAAAATATACCGACCTAGTAACTGACGACACAAGCAATTTTTCTCGCACTCTTGGAGCTATTACATCCATAATGCCAGAGTATGTTCTCCACTCTCTTTATCCTTTCTTGGGTTGTGTTTACATGTGTTCACTCATTAGGTTAATATATAACTACAACTTGTGTTAACTTTTCTGTTTCTTCTAGTGGTGTTCATCAACATGTTCTTGACTTGTATATAAAGGCAGCTAGAAGAAACCCTTCTGGTACAATTGATCCAGATGTTCAATGTGGTCTAGGTGTCCTTTTCAATCTATCTTCTGAATATGACAAAGCTGTGGAATGTTTTAAAGCAGCTTTGGAAGTTCGTGAAGATGTAAGTATTGTATTGGCGATGCTTTAATGGTTCACCATCCCAATCTCATGTTCAGAATATTTTCATGTAACTACTAAAAATAACAACAACAAAAAAACATGCACATCTTAACAGAGTTGTCATTATTTGTTTATCAGGACTTCCGCATGTGGAACCGACTGGGTGCAACTTTAGCCAATGGAAACCGTTCTGAGGAAGCTGTTGATGCTTATCACAATGCATTACAACTCTTCCCAGGTTTTGTAAGAGCCCGATACAATCTTGGCATTACATGTGTGAACCTAGGAGCTCTCAGGTAATTTTGAAATAATTTGCTGCTGACCATCCACACTTAATATATCCCGCCGTCATAGATTCTGCTCATACTGGCTATCTTTTACAGGGAAGCTGCAGAGCATTTTCTAACAGCTATTAATCAACAAGCAGCTGGTCGAGGGGCTAAAGGAGAACGAGTCTCACCTGTGAATCCTGTTATGTCTGATTCAATATGGTCTACACTTAAAACTGTTGTATCTCTGCTGGACAGACAGGATTTGTTCCCAGTGGTTGAAGCCAGGTCAGAGCAGTAGTGTTGAACATTTCAGCTTTTTACATATCTTGATCGATTGAGATGCAAGGCTGTACCAGCTTAAGCGAGTGCTCTCGGAGAGCAGAGAGCAGAGAGCACGTCAGCTATCTTCCTGATTTTACTCGTTTTCCGCGGTATTTATTACAACTACTCGACATGAATATTAATAAAAGATCATTTAAGTGCGATTTTGACAAGTTTTCTGCACCCGAGAAATGTGCAGTGTGCAGTATGCCGAAAGGAAGTTGACCCCAGGCCAGGCGCGCCAGATGCCACCCAGCGCCACCTAGCGGCGCGAGCGAATACTGGAAGTGTTTGAGTTGTTCGGCGTACTGCACACTGCTCATTTCTCGGGTGCAGAACACTTGTCAAAATCGCACTTAGACGATCAATTATTAATATTCATGTCGAGCAGTTGTAATAAATACCGCGGAAAACGAGTAAAATCAGGAAGATAGCTGACGTGCTCTCTGCTCTCCGAGAGCACTCGCTTAAGCTGATACAGCCCAAGACTGTGAAGTACTGTAACATAGATGTGCACAAATAAAATGATTTCAACTGTTTCCATTTCCTTACAGAGACGTTAAAAGATTAAATGCAGAATTTGAAATGGACTGAAATTGGACACTTTCAGTCTTTAGGTATAGATCAGAATTTGTATATAGAAATGACCATTTCAACATAGCAATACCCTAATGAATCAAGAGTGGTGAAGTCCATAGCACCCTCCAATTCTTAAATTGGTGAGTATGCACTTGGTCAAAGTTTGCATCACAGTGGGTACTGGTGCATATGTAACTTTAGCTCTCAAAATGTCACCAAATATTATTGTTTTTCTTTTTTTTTTGTTGAATATTATGTCTTAGTTAGAATAACCTACTGTAAGCATAAGATTGGTGCCAGAGGGTGACTGATTAATGGTCAAATTCTGTGCAAAGTTCACCAGTGTACCGTGTTGTAACTCATGAGCTTGCAAAATTATATTAATGGTTACAGGGTCATTTTTTCTCAAGTAATTTATAGCTAAAAATTGTGGGCTGTCAATGATAGAGTTAAGCATTTGAATCAATTATTTGAAGCTAGATTTGTTTAATTCCCAATTAAATTCTGGAATTGAACTTTGGCTTGTTTTGAGAAAAAGCAGTACAGAGAGGGTACACCCTTGATCCAAATTCTGAAAATCCTTATTCACTTCAGTGTTGGTTCTGACTTCTTCAAGTCCAATACTGCATGGGAGTGAATTTGATTATCCATACTTGGTCACCCTCTAACCCACCATGGAGAATACATTATCGCAATCATATGGTATAAGATTTACCCTGTTTTGTTTTCTATGAAGTTATTCTGATTTGAATTGTAAGTCATGTGATTGAAAATCCTCTATCAAAGTTTCTGTGAATCCTTTTTGCCATGGAGTGGTAGCCAAACTGAAGTTCAATAAGAATTGAATGCAATTATGCACATAATAATAAACTGTGAGAATGGGATTTAATGATCAGTGGATGAGATGATAAAAAAAGAAAGTGTTAAAAATGTATGTGCTGATTGATATACCATTCTAATGTTTAAGGGCTGGAACAGAAAACTTGACTCTATGAGGATGGTTTGAGATCAGTGGTAACCATCCTGAATGGAACCTCAATTGCTCTGGTTGGTAAATTAAGATAAGGGAAGGGTTTTGTGAACTTATTGGTCTTTCTTTTATTTCTTGGCTTTATATTGGGCCAACTCTTCTCTAGTAACTTCTTTTTACATTAAATTGAAAATATTTTTGATACTATTTGTTAAACCTGTGAATAAAACTGCTAGTAAAGTGCCTACATGTGTAAATACGTACTTTCATGTATAGGAGTTTCTCATTCTTCATACATTTTGTGCTTTGTAATAGCACACTCACTTGTTTGTGTGAGTCAAATTTGTTTGTTTTTTTCTAAATTGTTAGTGGTTGGTTACCATTGTTCTTTTGGTTAACGCATCCTTGGATTTCTTTCATGGATATATGTCTACCATTCTGTTTTAAATTTTTTGATTATTTTTTTGTCTATTTGTTATTGCAATACTCTTGTAGGTTACTCGAGAAAATGAGCTGACATGTTACTTTTTTTTTATAGTAATCTAATGAACATAGGTTCAGGTCTTAATGTAACAGAAGCAGTAATCTTCTGTAACTCAACTTCTAATTTTGTTTTGGAGGCTCATTAGCT